TAGTGTATTTGCTATTTTGAATTTAATTAAGAATGAAATATTGTCTCTATCAACTCCAGTCAAAAATCATCAACATATCTGTTACATAAATATGCATCAAAAAGAAAATTTGTTTTTGAAAATTATGAAAGTTAAGGAATCACATTTTCGAAAAAAATTCTTGTTAATGTATTTTTTAATAACGAAAGGATTTGGTTTTCAATAATAATTTAAAAACATTTAAAAAAAAGAAAAAAGCGAAAATAAAGTTGCTAATATGTCAATTGTATAGCATTTCTTCATATAGTTTAATAAAAATTACCTATTGTTTGATTTCTTTGAACTGACATTTTTTTCATAGCATTAAAATATAGATGAATATAAGATATATATTATACATATATATAAATATATATATTGATTTGAATAACTTCTGTGACAATTCTCCAACAAATGATTGCAAAAATATTACACAAATGTCATTAAATATTTGATACTTATTTTATCTTAAAAAATAAAATATAAACCAACTGCCACTTTTACATTGAAGAACTTTAAGTTAAAAATGAAGATTTGAGTTGCTTTTTAAAAATATAATACCCTGCGCAACCATTTTTTTAGTAAAAAATTTATAAATGTTACAGCACTTTGGGGTAGTGTGCTAAAGTTAGTGCGATAGTGTGCATCTATTTATGGTTATTTACTGTTCAAAATTTGTAAAGGTCCAATCAATTGGTATGCTAAGGGCTCTGATATGTGCGCTCATACCAGTCAGCATCACAAGCCGAATATTTTCTGGAGATGCGAAATAAGAATTCCAAGAAGTTACTAGGTTGATGACGTTGCGGAAAAAAAGTTAATCCAAGTATCTGGATGACTAAATGAAATGGTAAAAATGCCGAGCTCCATACTTAATTGAAATTTGATGTGGAGCTAAAGTGGCACACACAACCTGATAACAAACTTTTTTATGATACGTGAGTTGTCTAATGGTTCCATGGTAGAAACATACAGTCTTAATATCGTATTGGTTTTTGTAATACATGTTTTGGGGACCTGGATTATGCTAAGCGAGACATGGTGGACACATGTCTGAACTAACGCCAATAGCAATATCCCTTAAATACTTTTGATCCTTACTCAAAGAAAATATCTGATGGCAATGTGCATTTAACTAGTTTAAATGTTACGACTGAAAGCAGCTCACACGCCTTTAAAAGTTTCCCAATACAACTAGTGTAGGAAGTGGGTCTGGAGGTGGAACAGTTTGTTCGAGGGACTCAAACAAATGGCGAAGAGGCAATTTGTTACAATGTAGTTAACAAACAGCCCATTGCACAACTCTACCGCGACTCTGTTCAAGACGACGTAGTATCTCATTACGAAATCCAATATTCACAACCGTTCCATCACCTCATAAAACAAGAATCTGACTTAAAACTCCAGGCATTTCTGCTGTAATATAGTTATAAATAGTTTCAGCAATAACCTCTGTTGAACCAGACGCTAATCTAACATGACCAACACAGCTAGATTCTGGTTCTTTCACTAAGTAATAGTGTTCTTCTACAACTTTTCTTTGGTAGTATTTACCATCTATTATTTCTGTTGATAATGTTTTGTTTCAAAGTAAAGGCTCTTTAAATAATCATTACCAATTGCAAACTCTCATCTTTAAGCTCTTGCATGGTTTAGTACATTTTTCTAACAATTTTGCTCTAATTAATTACTGAAGATGTATTCAATTTAGTAATTAGACATACGTTGTGCAGAACGCTAGAAGCAATGGCTTATTAAGGCACTGTTAGTTTCCTTCACATTTGCAAAGAGGATCAAGCTGATGGCCCGGGACAATAGTTCTATTCATCAGGTTCCTTAACCTCATCTATTGCCTTTTCATCTTCCAAGAACATCGATGTTGATAAGGGTTATCACCATCATGCTTCAATCAGTAGGACGCAGTAAATTTAGAACTACAAAGGAGTTCTTTTGTCTTATTTTCAGCACGCGCTTGAAGCTTTTGACATGCTTGCTTTGCGATAAAAGAAAACAAGGATTTCTTGTTACCAGTTGTTTTAGATCCAAGGTGCCACCTTTCGTAAATGATTTTTTTAAAATAAAAACCACGATTTTTTAAAATAAAAACCACACACTGTTTTACGCTTCGACAGAAGATACCAAGTTTCTGCTGCAAAATTATTTGATCAAATATTTGCAATGAAAGAAAATAGTTTCCGTGCAAAATGAGGTGATTGTTTTAAAGGCAAACAAAGAGAACCATCACAATCATTTTTTTTTTGTGCCGCAATTCAAGAAGCTCTGAATCAATCAACAGTCAAATCAATCAAAAAGCCAAAAAAAATCAAGACCTTCACCAATCAGTTAAAAGTATGTGAAGCAACTGGTGTAAAATTTGAAGCAATTTTGAAATTTGAATTAGCCCTCCACACAATTAAAGCCATTTATTAAATAAAACCTGTTTGTGAAAGAATTGAGATTAAAAAAAAAACACCTTAGTACTAATAAATGAAAAAATATTTTTTTTTTTTAATTTATAATGAATCATAAATTAAAATAAATGTTATTAAAAAAAAATACCAAGTACAAGAACAATGTTTAATTTTCAATTTGATAGTTAAACTTTATTTTTTTTTAATGAAACATTATCAAAACTCCGATTTTTTCTCGATTTTGGGTCCTTTGACAATTAATAATCATTTATTACTTAATAGCAATGTTAACCTGGAAAATCTGCTACTTAAATATTTTACAACCATTTATCCTCAAAAGTCAAAACAGCTACTTCGATTTAATATAAGAAATAAAAATTATTTTATTAACTATAATTTTCAAACGTTATTGTACCGTTATTGCGTCAAAATATTTGTCTCATGAGATTACTAATATTAGAAAAAAATTTTAAAAAACGAATAGAAATAAACCTAACTGTTTAAATCTAAAAAAATCAATACAAAAAAAAAAATTTCATGTCATGAAAATTTTTATGTTAACAATGTATTTGTCGATTTTGGAGTTATTGCCAGAACAGGACATATTGTTCGCGTGGTGTCAAATTTTGCACAGTAGTTAACCATAAATATGTGAAACTTTTAAACACTACTGCAAAATGTTGAGATATTTTTAAAAATTTGAAGATTTTTCAAAATTTTCAAAATTTCACGTCTCTTACCAGAGCAGAAGACATTCTCTGGTGAAATTTTGAACACAAGTTACTTAAGTAGAGAGGCAACTTTTCTGCGTTAGTTGCAATAATTTTTTTTTTTTTGGTACCCCTATCAATCACGTTATTAATTTTTTTATTTATTCTTGTTTGAGGTATATTATTAGGCATATATGCCGATAAAAACAAACAATGCTTTCAATGGTTAGAGCCTTACAATCAAAAGGTCAAAAACCTACTCTGACCATATTTCCTAAATAAGTGCTCTCCCGTGGTATTCTATAACAAGACTGGTAGGTTTTTTTGGAGCAATTAAATAAGCAAGAAAAAAAGTTTTATCGGCTTTTTTATAAATATCAAATAAAAGCTACATTTTATGATGAAAACACAGGGCAAAGTAGATTGTTTGTGATGCCCCAGATAAATAACCATTTGAATAATCACTCATTATTTTATTTTTTGTGGCTAACTTTTTTAGTTTTTAAGTATTTTCATCATTGAAAGCTGTAAAAAACTACTTCAATTACACCTTTACTTTTTGCAGTTATGATGACACACACACTCAATACTCCAGACCCAGTAATGCTACACACAACATCTGTTCTTGTTTTAGTACAACTAACACGGGTCTTGATCCAGAACTGACTCATCAACAGTCTTACACGTAATGGGAAATGTGATAGAAAAACTACATAAAATGGAAATAATAGCAACATATGTTATAGAACTAACGTACATGTGTAAAATCTATACATGTACATTAGTTCTATATATGTGTAAAATTTTCTGAAAACTAGTTTAAAAATTATTTTATTCATTTTAATATAGATAATTGAACATATATAAAGCATGAAACCTGGTTTACATTTTTTTTTTTTTAGACGGCAAAACTCGTAAGACAACTCCCGAGTCGATACCTACTCGCGCCGGCCTTGATTAGGTTCTTATAATTATTATTAAGTTATAATCAAAATTATAAAATAAAAAAGATAAGTGTCTTAGAGATTAATAGTAAATTTAATTTTTACAAATTAGTAAACTGCCTAATTTTTATTATAAAACTTCAATCATTTTAAAAATATTACATATGAAATATTTATATAAAGAAAAAAAATTATGGGTTGTCCATCAATTACGTCAACAAAATAGGGGGAGGGGGTCAAAAAATTTTTTTTGACAAAAAAAACTTTTTTGACAATTGTTGACACGGGGGAGGGGAGATCAATTAAAGTTGACGTCAACAATACTTTTTTTTTTTTGAGTTTCATTGCTTAAATAACAGAAAATTAGGCTGAGTTTGTAGCGTAGTTTCTTTGTATAGAAGGTGGGGGGGGGGGGATAATCAAAAATTGACGTAATTTTATAAGGAGGAGGGGGGGGGGGAATAATCAAAAATTGACGTAATTTTATAAGGGTCTTTGGAAATTTGATAAACTGTTGACAAGGGAGAGGGGGGAGGTAAAAAACTCAAAAAATTTGTTGACGTAATTAATGGACAGCCCCTTACAATTTTTATATTTAACTTTCTAATTACATTTTATATATGAATATAATATAATGATATACAAAATGTAATCAGAAAATTAAATTAAAAAATTTTATAATTTAAAATAATTACTTTTAAATGAAGTTTTATTATTGAAATAAAAGTATGCAAATTAATTCGAGTGTTAAAGAACATTAATTCGAACGTTAAACAACCTTCCAGTGTATATTTTTAACTATCACGTTTTGTTTTTGTTTTTATAAGACTGCTACTAAATTGAATTGTTATTTTTATTTTATTTTTAATGCAGTTTAAAAATAAAAAGTAAAAATATATATTAAAAAAAAATCTCACTGTTAGAGGCCAGTTGATAGGAATTTTCGTGGTAACATTAAAAAGATATAACAAAAAAAGTACGATGATTATTAACCAAGGTATCACAGTAGTAGCCATGAAAAATGAAACACTATTTGATATAAGACTGTATAAAATTGATTGACTTTTCCAGCGTGCGATTATTACCCATGCAATTAAAAGTAAAATCTATAATAAAAATTATGAAGTTAAATATAATGTGCTTTTAAACAGAGAACGTTGTATATACTTCTCAGTTTAAATTTTTACTATTTGACTAGAGAAGATTTCAAAAAATCATGTAATATTTAAACAAAACTTTTTTAGTATTATTAATTTTTGGAAACCAATTTTGTATCCACGGTTTTTCATTTTATCCAAGTTTAAAACATAAAAACTTTTTTGAGAAAACTTTCCAATTTTCACACATTTTTTTACAGTCTTTTTATAGATGATTTGGTGTTGTTTAAAAATTACTTACTTTGTTTATGATCAACAATATACCAGGAGGAGAACAAACAAATCTGATGTTTGGTTTCATATCAAATTTTGTGGCATTTTTTTTATCGTTGGGTTTCTTTGTTGGCTGTGATGACCTGAAATAAAAAGCTTGTACACGCAAAATTTTTAAGAAATTATTTAATCTTTATTTCATATATTTTTAATTTGTTTTATGCGCTAACATAATCACTGCCTTACTTAAAACCATCAGTTGCTATGCTTACATTATGCTGCGAGTGTCTCTGCTGTCATTCGATGCATGTCTTCTTGTCGCATATATTACGCTTATACAGACTACTCAAATGGAGAAAAACCATGCTTATAAAAAATTGTAAAGGGGGTTTACAACCAGAAGACGTCCCAGTTTTAAAATAATGGTATTCAAAAAGGAAAAATGAATAATAACATTTTATTTGAACAAAAAAATAATGCAACTGCATGGTAGTAAATTTAATAGCAGTTTGTAAAGGATGCTGCTAACCTTTGAAATATATAATAACCCTGCTAAAATTCAAACCTTTTATGAATTTTCAAAACAAAGTATAACTTTGTGATAAAAAAGTAAAAAATCGAAACAAACCTCTTTCTTTTTAACATCGGAAGTGTATACAAATTAACTTAAACACTTATGCAAAGGAATTCAATATCTACTTCTATGTATAATCACGTCAAAAAAACAGTTAAAAGATGTCTTTTTTATTAAAACTTTTTTTTGTGTCAAAGAAATAAAAAATGATATATTTTAAAATTTGTTATTATTTCAAAGATTTTGCTAATAAAAAGTTTTAATATTTGACAACATCTTAGCGGACGAGTGGTTGCATGGTTCAATTTATTATGTCATTATAAAACCAATAAAGTTGTCATAAAATTATTATAATTAGCATAAAGATGATTTTAAAACTTAGATATATTTTAAATATAATTTAGGTATATTTTAGATATAATTTAGATATGTGAGGATCGGACTTTTACGGTACCGATTTTAAAGTTAAAATTTCTGACTTGTTTTTTGATGTCTGCGTTATAAAGATGTTTTTTAGTGTTCTTTTTTAGAATTTTTTTCTAATTTAGATTTTACTTCAAAAGTTGACCATTTTAAGTTAATTGTATTGCTTATAATGAGTTTTTTTTATTAAGTTTTAATTTACTTTTTCGATGTTAAAAACTTCGTTCATATTTTTAGTCTATTAGTTTATTTTTTATCTAACCTATTCATTTAATTTTCTACATCCATATTGCCAAATACTTGCCAAGTTTCGTTGAAAATATTCACGCTCTCTATTTTCTTACGCGATAGAGGTAATTTTTATTTTGACGTTTTTACTGGAGATGGCAAAAATCCCGGAAATTTTCAATTCCGGGATTTCGGGTTTGAGAAATATCTCCCTGGGAAATCCCGGGATTGAATAGAAAAAAAACACTACTAAAAACGCTATTAAAAACGCTACGAATACTTTTTAAGTACTCATCAAACACTTAAAAATGATTAGTTTAGTGATAATATAACTAAAACATTTAATATATTAATGAACCTAAAATTAAGTTACAAACATGTTTTAACTTAATTTTGTTATATTAAATCTTATATAAGACTTTTAAAAATTAATGAACCTAAGTACTTTAAATTATAAAACAATACCTTAAAATCGTAACACTGTATAAAAAAAAATAATAATTAAAAAAATATATAAATATGCATGACTTCATTAATTGAACAGACGCTAAGAAAATTTTGTAATTTAATAAACCTGTTTTTTGTTAACTTTATTAATTAAACTGACTTAAAAAAAAACTTATGTAAATCACGCACATATTTGAAATTAAAACTAATGGAAATAAAAATGGAAATTAAAAAATAAAATAACTTTAATAGAAGTCATTTTTTCAATGAATTTTTTCAAAACTATTTATTTGAAATATTATTGTAGACAAGCAATAATTTTGTAGACAAGCAATAATGTTTTGAGTTTTTATTTTTAATAAAATATAGAAAAAGAGAGTTTTAAAAGGAAAACATTTCAAAGAAAATGAACAGTTGCACAACCAAACAAACTACTATACCAAAGACAATGTACAAATTACTTAACTACAATTATAAGCTTAAACTATATTAACTTTTACTTTTTTTTGACGTTGCCGAAATCCCGGGAAATTTCGGAGACTAATCCCGGGATTTTGGGATTAACAATTTGTACGAAATCCCGGGATTGCCATCCCTAGTTTTTACTGAAAAATTTTAAAGTACATCACTTTTCTTAAGAAGTCCATCTAATTTGTTTTTGTTTTTTTTTGTTTTTTTTTTTTTGTATGTATTTAGGTGCTCCCAGAAGTCCTTACGGTCTTATCATAGAGCACCGCGGGTGAGCATTTAACAGAAAGTTCACGCCTCCTTCCGTACCAATGTCGCTTGTTGGGCTAGAGCTGGCATCGAACCTCGGACCTCTGGGTTCTGAGCCAGAACTCTAACCACTGCGCCACGGCTGCTCAATAGGGAGACACACGACTCTTGAAGAAAGACAATTAATTCTATCTTATTTCCAAAATAAAAAAAGTCAACAAGAAATTGCAAAAACTGTTAACAAACGTGCGTCTACAGTGATTTTAATAATATTTAAATTAATGAATAGTAATAATAATAATAAATTTTAAAAAGTTAACCAGGTTGTTGTAAAATTATAATGAGATATAAAAGATAAATTATAGGAATAATTTAAAAGTATATGCAATACTATGCAAAATGTCAAATGTCATGCAAAAGGTCGTAAGTGTTAACATGTTTTGTGACACGTTCAAAAACGCAATCAAACATTGATATTATTATTTTTTTTTTACTTTATTCTAATTTAACGACATTAAAAACAATAAACTTACAGTTTTTGATGTAACTTAAATAGCTGATAACCATTCATGTTTATAACTCGACTCTAGCTTTGTAAAATAAGTTAAAACTAATTATTAAAATATTTGCCAAGTTTTAAATCTTTTCAAACTTTAATATATACGCTAGTTATTTATTATTAATTCTATTATTAATTTATTTATTAGATTTATATTCAGATTTACATTTTTCAATATTTCAAGAAATGCATAAAATCTGCAGGAATCTCAGACTTTTTTAGAAATTATTCTCAAAACTCAATTAGTTTTAATAACTAATTTAAAAAAACAGGTATATCAATACAATGTAAGAACACCGCATGTAAATTGACGTGCGCTTACCTGGTTATGGTTATTTGAAAAAAAAGTTATCCCGGTAGACAAAGTATAGTTCGGAAATATTAAAATATGTAGGGGCGGTTTTAAGGGTGAGTGACATCCTATTAAAGCAAATCTGCTTAATAAAGTCTTTCAACTTATATTCGGTTTTTTCAGGAATAAATGCTGGTTAGTAGCCGTTTGATACAATTTAGTCGAAAGATTATTAGTTTTGAGGACCTTTTTTCTTTTCTAGAAAGTAGTCGGCTGTTTTTAAGAGTTGTCCCCTCCCCATCATTTTATTTTTAGAATCGCCTCTAAAAATACAAGATATGTTGCTCGAAATGCAATATTCATTTTGATTCATCAAGAAGACAATTGTCAGTACAGTACATCTATATAGGGTAATATGAGCACCTTTAGCGAAAAATTGAATATTTTCAAAAATAAATATGCTGGATCCAAATTTTTTGCAAATAAAAAATTTTTAGGGATCCCTACTCATAATCCATTTAGATATTTGGGCACCCGACATTTTTTTTAAAAAACACAAAGGTTTTAAAAAAGTAGCAAAAGTGCTCGTATTACCCAGACCCCTTGGTAATATGAGCACTTTTAATTAGCTCAAAAAAATAGTATTAAGTAAAAAAAGACCAACCTAACTAATAGGACTAATTTTTGGAATATAAGGATTCGTGATTAATAAAACTTATTATTAAAAGACCAAATTTCAAGCTACATTTTGTTGAAACAATACTACAATGTTTTTCACAAAAAAAAAAAAAAAAAAAAAAAAATTAACACGTTATTTTTTCAATTTTGTTAACTCAAACCTTTAAACGATAAAAATTCAAATTTTTTAAATTTAAGTTACAAAAAAATATTTAGAATTGTTAAAATATTAAAAATTTTTACTATATTTTGTTTTTACTTAAGAAGCAACTTAAACCACTACTATTTTAGGACTTTAAACTAAGTAATTTCAATGAAAAACACTGGGTAATTTGAGCAATATTACACAAAAATGGCATTTTTAAATAAAGTCAAAAGTTCTATGCATTATTTTTCAAACAAAAATGAATTGGATTTTTAGCTAATATAATTTTCTTTATGAAAAAATTAATATCATTATTTTAGCACCAAAATTTCGCGCTACAGAATTATTCATGAGTGATGATATTATTTTAACAAAGCAAAAAATTTAAAAGCGTTTTAATTAGATGATATTCGCTTATTACTGCGTATAAATTTACGCTAATTGTATTGATTCCTGTTATCACCTCATAAAATCGATTCGAAAAACACAAAGCAACTTTATCTTCGCTGCTTACATCTAATAAATCTTTAAGTATGCCCATATTACCAAGGTGCTCATATTACCCTAATCTACCCTATAGCTGCTATTTCTTCTTTTCGAATTATAAAAAATCAACAAAAATAAAATAAAATATTATTTTTAAGATAATGATAAATTTTTTTATTGCCGATGTTAGTTGTAGTTTAGTTAAAAAAATTTGCAACTAAAATTTAATTTTATAACTGCATTTATTTAAATTTTATTTATAATGTATTTTACTAGTTCAATATTTTATTACTTATTATTTATAGTCAGGACCCGTAAAACGGGCCATCATGACTTGTGGTATCAAAAAATGCTCAAATCGTAAAGCAATCCTAAAAGAATCTATTTAATTGACAGTGTGAAAATATTGCTAATAAAAAAATACAACAAAATAACAAAAAAAAAAGGGAAGGGCTGAGGGGGTAGTTAAGTAACACTTTAGAAGCGTCACTTAACAAATAGTTTAAAGCAGTTTCACTTAACGGCTTGATTGTCACTTAACATCTGTTTTATCTAATGTTATTTAAAAATTTAAAATTTAATTTTTTTTTAAAATTTGAACAGTGAATTTATTTATATTTTATTTGAAAATTTTAGTTAAAAAATTTGCAAAAGACAAAATATTAAAGACAACATTAACATAATTAAATCTACCTAAGGTAGGTCCAAATCATTGTGGGTTTTTGAAATAAAAAAGATTTTATTTTTTAATATATATATATATATATATATATATATATATATATATATATATATATATATATATATATATATATATATATATATATATATATATATATATAGAGAGAGAGAGATATATATATATATATATATATATATATATATATATATATATATATATATATATATATATATATATATATATATATATATATATATATATATATATATATATATATATATAGATATATAGATATATATATATATATAAATATATATATATATATATATATATATATATATATATATATATATATATATATATATATATATATATATATATATATAAATAACCTCTTATCTTTGGATACTGTGAAACTCTATTTTGGAAGTATTTGGAAACTATACCATCTGTACCTCATATAAATAACCTCTTTATAAGGCAAATCTGATTCAAAGGAAAAAATCATCAAGTAGGACAATTGCCTTTGGTCCATTGTTGAACGAAGATAGTTATTAGCAATAATCAGATTGCTGAAAAATCTTTTTACTATGATGGTTGCAACAGGCAATGTAAGAAACTTTTTAAGTTAAACACACATTTAGGGCAACATTTAGTGAGTCTATTTACATAAATTTCATTTATAAGTTCAACAGGTTTTTTGTTTGCTAAAATGTTTCTTTTAACGGAAAAAAAATGTTTTTTTTCAAAAAATTCATCTTGTTTAAGTCCATTGAGAGATCATAGAAAAGAAGTAGATCATTAAAAGAAGTTCTTTGTCTGTTAGAGATATTTTTAAAAACTTGTTACATTCTTCTTTATTAATATTGTTTTCATTTTACTATTAGTTTCTCATTTTACTTGTAAGATTGTTCAAGACGAAATTGATTTCATTCAAAGCTTTTAAATCTTTTTATTAGTTTTTTGCCAGCAGTTTTACCAGATAATTTCTTCTTTATTCGCATTGTCTACTCAAAAAACACGAATTCATTGAATTGCAAGCTTTTTCCAACTTCTTTAGCGTCTATAAAAATCAGGACTTTTTACTAACGGATTCAATATGGAATCGGAAAAAGGCTATTTAAAAACTTCATTTCATCATCGAGAGTAAGTTTAGTGGAATGAAGAAAGAAGACTTATAACGTTAAATCTAATTAAACAAACAACCAAAAAATTAGTAAAAACTACAAACTCAGAGGAATTTATCTACCTAATCAGATAATGAATTTCATTATTACTTTCACAAGCAAGATCTAACTCTTTTTGACGATGTTATGCAAGATCCTTGGTTTTTTTGGAAGTGGTTTGACTGCTTCAAACCTTGAGCTCTATTGCGTATGATAAACTTTATGTAATGATTGCACTATCTTCTCCTAAATAATTTTCCAATAACCTGGGCTGCAGATGAACAGATGGTATAGTTTTTAAATACTTTTAAAATAGGGTTTCACAGTATCCAAAGATTTAATAACATGTACACTACATGAATTCATGAATTCTAGAATGATAATAAATACTTCAAATTTTCAATTAAAAAAAAAAAAAAAACTTTTCTATCAAGATGATTTTTATTGTCTTTTCCTGCCTCGATAAGCGATACAAATACAGTAAGTAATGCCTCAAAAGGTCTTACAAATACAGAAGTGAAAAACTGCTTAAGTGATAACTTCTTGATGCAATGTAATATTAGGCTGCTAATCTGCCAACTGTGAAGCTTTAACTATTGATAAGCTTAAAGAAGCTAAATATTTTTCTCATTGGGTTCTTCTTTTTTTTTTTAATTATAAAACAATAAATATTTACAATTTTATAAATTAATACATCTCTGGTTAAAAAATTATCTACTTTTTACAATATATAGGTTTTACAAGTGTTTTTATAATATATAACTGGTCTTTTTTAATATATAAGTTTTACAACTCGTTTTATATAGACATATGTTTATATTTTTTTAATAAATTTTTTGATTTTATATTTTTTGGCATTTTTCGATTTTATATTTCTTTGTATTTTTCGATTTTATATATTTTTGTGCTTTTTGATTTTAAATTTTTTAGTATTTTTTGTTTTTTTATATAAGGGCTGTTGGGCGTAAGTAAATCGAGAGTTTAGATAAGGTTTTGAAAGGGGTAATAAAAAGAAATTTAAAGCAGTTATTTTTTGAAGAGAAAATATTTTTATTAAAACAAATAAAAAATTACAGGGCGGAAACACTAAATTTACTCTACGAACTCTATAGATAACACTTATATGTTAAAATAATATATCATAAGATAAGGGCTGGTAGTAATTTTCTAATTATATATAATAATTTTGTTTTATAAAATAATTTTGTTTTATAAAAAAAAACATCGACAGAAAAGAGAAAATCTTAACTAAACATGCAGATCTTGCTATAAGCTGACGTTTTATTTCAGCTCATATTTTTATTTTCAGATTTCCATTCTCTACTATACTTTAGGTTTTGTGGTTTATCCTCCGTATACATACAGTATACATCCTGATTTCTATGGTACTATATTGTCTGCAGTTAACATAGCATCAAATGTACTAAATAGAAGGCATTATAGTGGTACTGCAATATTGTCTCAAAATATCTCAAAAGTCTAGCAAGTTGTTTTCAAATTATTGAATCGCTTTAATCAAGGATTACATGCTTGCGTATTGATACCAATATTAGGCTGGTGCTGCTTATAAATGTATACATGCCCACTAATTATAACGATGAGGAGAGTCTTCAAGCCTATTTTGATATACGCTCCAAATTGAATGTTATTATAGTAGAAACAGATACAGTATACACTACTATTGCAGGTGGTTTTATTTGTCATGAAGGGTCAAGATTTTATGACAAGTTCATAAATCTTGCTGCTGAAAATAATCTGGTTAAGTCTGATATAAACAGGTTAAATAATGCTTCTACCTATCTTTGATGATAGTAGAATACTTCATGGCTAGATTATGTCCTATGTAGCCATGCTGTGAATAAATTAATAGCAAATGTTTCAGTATTAACAGAAGTCATTGCATCAGACCATAGACCATTAGTTTTTTCAATTTTACGCTCAGTAAATAGCAAAGCTGCTACAATAAACTGTAATTCTACTTTTAAAATGTTACCTAGTAAGCCAGACTGGCAAGCTTGTGACTGTTCCATTTTAATTCAATATAAAAAAAGGGTGGATTATTTACTTCAAAGAGTAAAAGTACTTCTTAGTATTTTTAATTGTTCTGTATTTCATGAACGTATTGCTTCTAAAATTGATCTTTTTTAATATTATAAAATAACATTATAAAATGTATGCAATCTGCTGTGGCTAATGTGATACCTCATAGGGGTTTAAAAGTAAATTTGGAGTTTATTGTTCCCGAATGGATTGACTGTGTTGCAGATAAACATGAGTTAGCCAGGGATACATTCAAATAATGAGTAATTGATGGAAAACCTAAACATAGAATTATCTTAAGAATGAAAAAAACTTGGGCAGTATTTGAACTTGCTTTTAGACACTTTAAAAATCACACTAAGCAAATTAAAGCTAACATTTTGCAATTACAAATCTACATTTTAAATAAGCAAATTAAAACATTGTGCAAAGAATATCAATAATGGCGATCCTTTATGACACATTTTCAAGCACTATATAATTCACTTAATGATAACCAGCATAGAATACAGTTTGAACAGAAAGTGCATTCTTTATTTCCAGACATACCTGTTAGAGTTACTATTATAGATGTTACTAATGCTTTGCATAAGCAAAAAAAAAAAAGAAAATCTGCTGAACCAGATGACTTGTTTATGGAATCATTTACATATAGAGGACATAGACTGTCTCTCTATTAAACTATTTTTTTTAATTTATGCTTGTTGTGAAAACAGTTTCCTTTAACATTTTGTTAAGCTACGATAATACCTCAAGTAAAGTCTAAAATTAGAGATTTAACAGATGTAAATAATTACAGAGCACTCGCAATCTCTCCCGTTTGCTCTAAAATACATGAAGGTATTTTATTAGAAAGAATTGAATCTCATGAGAATGCTGATGATTTTCAGTTTGGTTTCAAGAAAAATCATTCCACAATGTCTTCTACATATTATTTAAAAAAGACAGTTGAATACTACATTTCTAGAGGAAGCCATATATTCACATATAAATTTTATAAATTTCAACAAAGCTATTGATAGCGTTAATTATTGGAAACTGTTGTTTTTTTTAATTAATTGATTAGGGTATTGCCAAGAATGTTGTCTGTCTACTAGCATCTTGATAAAAGAATCAAACTATGTTTGTCAGATGGCAGAAAGTAAGCTCTGATAGCTTTACATAAGCAATGGTGTACGACAAGGTGGAATTCTTTCACAATTCTCGTTCGTATTTTATGTAAAAAAACTGATTTTTAATATTACGAATATGCATATTAGATGTAACTTAGGTGGAACTTTTTTAAATCTTTTAGCATACGCTAACAATAATGAACTAATTGCTCCATCTTGATTTTCATTGTAAAAATTATTAACTGTATTAAATGTTGAAGCCACTGCCATTAACATATCATTTAATACAAAAAAAAAACGGTGTGTATGGTATTTAACCCAAAGCAAAGATGCAAAATTGTGTCATACAATTTTCTATTGTTTACCTTTGCTGGATGTGGATTAGTTTTCATTGACAAATTTAAGTATCAAGCTCACATAATAGAAAATGGTTTGTTTGATAATGCTGATATAAATCAAGAGATTAAATGTGATTATACGCGTGATTATACGCGTGATTATACACGTGATTATACAAACATATTGATCAGACAATTCAAGAAATTCTCAGTTAAGGTAAAAGTAAAACTATTTAAGACTTGTATATTAAGACATGTATATATATATATATATATATATATATATATATATATATATATATATATATATATATATATATATTATGTAAAAACTACATCTTCGTTTGATCGGATGCAGATGTCGCACCAATGATGTTTTGAACTCATTGCCTACGTCCTGCCAAGGAGCAGCTAATATTATAGAAACAACAAAGACCATTATCTAAATAAAGACCGGTAGTATTAAGTATATATTATTTGGCAATAGGTTATAAGATTAAGGGAGAGCCAACTCACATAACTTGGCTCCGTCAGGACTATTAGTTGTGACGTTGAAATTAGATTCTGATTTTTTAATGTGCATATCATTATTTATTCACATATCTGAGAATTGTTGGAGAAATTATCCTTGCAATCTTTTAAAGTAATGAATGCTGTATTCACGGCTTGACACTCTAGTTTATCATCTAAGTGCAAATTTTTTTCTGCTCATAAAGTTTTCAAGATTTATCAGCAAAGATAAATAAATTATTTGAATAAATAAATTATATGAAGAAGATGAAGAAAACAATTATTCTTTTAAAAACTTAAACAAAACATTACAATTTTCTGAAAATCTTTGGATTACATAAAATTGTGGTAAACTCTAACGAATAAAAGTTGTAAAATTCCCCATCCACTTTATTCACTTTATAATATAAGTTAACTAAAAATTATATTAGAAAGTAAATTTAAAACATTACTAGTTGTGTAAATGTTAGAATGTAAATGTTCGGTCATCGAAAAACTGCAAATATTTAGCAAATTTCAGAAATTAATTAAAGTTATTTGCATTATAATATAAGGTTGTATTGTATATTTTTAATACAACAGTTTAGCAATTAAATATCGTTCCAATTGAACTTTTTTCAATTTTTCAATTTCAAAGAAAAAAGGTAAATAAGCTAATTAGGCATAATTTTAAAATCCTTTTTAAAAATTTTGAAAACATAAAATATTTAAATTTTGCAAAAGCTATTGATTAAGGTTTTTAGTTAGGAATACTATCAATTAAAGTTTCAAACACTTTTACGTCAAACAAATAGATATTTTAGAAAATAATATTTTTCTATTCAATATTAAAAGGTAGTAGTTAAAAAAGTAAATTAAAAAAAAACTAGACATTCATTGACGTACCTCAAGACAACCCAACAAGGAATGTTTCCTGAAAGTCAACCCCAGATAACCCAACAAGGAATGTTTCCTGAAAGTTTTAAATTAAAGAAAAATGAGTTTTGAAGGTTGAAAATTTTTGTGGGTTGCAAAGTTTAAAGTTGAAAAAAGTTTGATTAGTGGCAAAGTTTAAAATTAAAGAAAATGTGTTTTGTGGTAAAAAAAAGTAAGCACAAGAAAAAAACAAATAAAATTTTTTTTAATAAAACAATTTCTGTCATACCAAAAACTATCTGTAGAATAAAATGTTTCTTTTTTTACTTATGAATCCTTTCTTTATAGAACTCAGCAACTTATTTTTGTTCATACTTATGGTGGCCACCTTTTTAAAGTTCACACCTGTTCTGAAATTTTTTTTTTTCTCTCATATAATCTATTCAAGTTGCATTTTTTTTTTTTTTTTTTTTTTGTTCTAATATCCATAAATTTCTGTTTTTTTTTCTGTAGTTTTTTAGAACTTCATTTTTAAATTTGAATAATTCTAGTTAATCTAATTAAATACCTTTAATGTTAATTACAAATGTGGCTATAATTTCATCACAATTTTTAGAAAAAGTTTTAAGCTGAAATCAACTGGAGCTAAGCCTTAACGAATGTTTGATAGAGGGGGAAAAACTGTAACCGAACGTCGTAAAGATGACGTTGGAGATAAATTATGGCAATTTTTTTAAGACAAATTATGGCAAAATTCAAACCAGTATTTTAAATTTTGGAATACCTAAGAACAAAGAATAATATTCAAAAATTTACGAAAGTAAGTGTTCTAACAAGAAGGTAAATAAGATTTTAGACTAATAGCGTAGTTTTATATGCTTTGTTTTATTTACATAGAAATAAAATAACCCTATTTTATTCTCAACTTTATCTTGTAAATTTTATTTTATTTTGATATTCAGAACAACTTTAATCCGCATATTACATGTCATTCACATATCTGAGGATTGTTGAGGAAATTATCCTTGTGATTTTTTAAGGTTATGAACGCTGTATTTATGGCTAGACGCTTATTAAATAAAACAGAAAAGTTCATAAAACTAATTTACAATTAAACAACTTCTAGCTGGTGATAAAAGTAATTTTTTTTTTGCTGCATGTGTACTGATTGTTTTTGAACTTACATCTAGGTTTTCTAATCGTACTACGAGTCTTTTTTTTAATATAAAAAGTACAAACAAACTTCTAATATAATTTTTTTTTTAATTATGCTTCCAAAGTTCCACAGTTTAAAGATTTGATTTTAAAATTTAAATTTCAAGCTGTGAAATTTATCCTAAAGTTGTTTGAACTCAAATTTCATCCGAAAATCTGATTATTAAGTTAAAAAACTTAAAATTAAACCTGTTGCTATGGTACTAGCCGGGAAAGTCAGAAAACTATGGTTTCAATATCTCTTAATCAGTTAATGAAGTACTAGGTAAGGTTGAAAATCTATTTTAGGGCTTGAATCTAGTTAAAATCTAAAATCTAGCTAAGAACTAGAATCTTGTTAAGGGTTAAAAATAAATATTGCAACACAATTTGCTTATGATTTTTAATATATTGCAATTTTTTTTTTAGCGTTTTACTGAACTTTTAACTTTTGAAGATATTGTAACAAAATATTTTTGAACTAGAAGTATTTCTCATAGATGCCTAACATTTTCTAAAAGTGCGTCTAACTAATGGGTTTCTGTTTAAACAATTTAAGTATATTTGTATTGCTTTAAAAAATTTAACAAATATTGGTTCTTTATTATTTTTCTTTACAACTGCATAATTTAGAATTGTATTTACAATTCAGGTAAACTGGTTTGAAAAAAATGTTTATTAATAAATTATGATTATGTTTTTATTAATGTTTAATTGAAAAGATTAAAAAAAAAACTTATTGAAGAATGAGGCTAGTCCTAATGTCTAATGCTCTTTTATACAGACAGCTTTAATCTGATTCTATAAATATCTTCATATGTTTTAATTTGATAAAACATTTATTATCTATGAGTCTTTACAACTGTGTAAAATATTTTTAAAGAAAAATTTTGTTACAAACAGGGTTGAAAATAAATAAGTATGTATAAGCAACTATATTTTGTGGACCCGTTACTTTTGCAACGTTATTATTATCGTTAGTTTAAACGACATTGTGTTAAAGAACCAGACAGTTCCAAATATTGAATGTCATCAAAATCGTTTTACTTTACATTTATGTTTTGTATTAAAGGGAACAAAATATCGATACATTTTGGCTTAGGTGAGCTCAGAGAAGTTTGAGGTGTGCTCAGAGAAGTTTGAGGTGAGCTCAGAGAAGTTTATTATATAAATATTATTGAAAGGGGGAAGAAAATGAGTAAGAGCCATGTGGAAAAGAAAAAGTTTGTAAAGGTTGTAATTCCCATCACGCCCAACAGGTGAAGAAAAAATTAAATAACAGACACAACGTGATGGTAAATACAGTAGCAGCAATGAACAAGGTTATATATATATATATATATATATATATATATATATATATATATATATATATATATATATATATATATATATATATATATATATATATATATATATATATATATTCATTTCATTTCATTTTAACTCATTTTATTTTCAAACAAAAAAAATTATGTTTTAAATCTTACGGAATAGTTTTTATTTATAATTTTTATTTTTGTTTACAAAAATAAAATTTAAACATTATATTTTCTTATTTGACTGTTTGTTTTTTTTTGTTTTTTTGTTATTTTAAACTTATATATTTTTTTATGACTTTTTGTGACTATTAGTATTTATTAATATAATTCAATAAAATTTATTGAAGTAAGTAATATTTTTTAGAATGAAATTCTTTTAGATTTAATTTATAATTTAAAAAGTTACCATGCAAATAATAATACACTCAATGGCAATAGTGCTTTCAATTTTTTTGACGTTTATGTCAAATACTTCTCAGGCAACAGGTTTCCAGTCTAGTTGCAGAATTCCATGCAAGAATATTTTTGTAAACTGTATCCACAACAACACTGCAGAAACTTTGGAGAAAATGTTTAGTCATTGCCAAAATGCAACAAAATCGTGCTTTCTACTATGCTACTACATATCAAAGCAAAAACGCGACGACATGGATAACAAAGTTAAAAACTTAAGGACAGTAATGGCAAAGAAATATTTTTTAGAAATGTAGTTTGTTTTTTATAACAAAATAAATTAGTCTTATTTATTATTCTTTAGTACTTCCTTAGCTTTAACGTCTTTCCATAATAGCAGTAACAAAAAATGTATATATATTTATAATATATTGTTTAAAAAATAATATATATATATATATATATATATATATATATATATATATATATATATATATATATATATATATATATATATATATATATATATATATATTTAATTATATGTAAAACTTTGACAGAATATTCTAAATAAATATAACGGAATACAATATTTATATATATGGTTGTTTTTATCCGGTTTATTCAATATACCCGAAAAAAAAATCCCGGCTAATCATATTAAATATTTAGTAAGTCGTATTAGTAATATTTACAAAGTTTCTGACTAGTACTCGAATGGAACGAAGTAGTATAACCAGGTTTTAATCGGAACTTAGTATGAATACTCAGGTTTTTATTTGGCTATTAGGCGTATTAGCAAGTTTTAGTCAGAACTTAGAAGAAATAAAAAAATTTTTACTCTGCACTTGGTAGGATTAGCTGGTTTTGGTGAGAAATTATTTGGAATTATTAGTATTACATTAAAAAACTGGGTTTTAACTAATAGTAGAAACTTATATTTTGGGTTACTGGGTTTTAGCTATTAGTAGAAACTAATTAATTTTATATTTTATTATTTATATTTAGCTAATAGTAGAACTTTATATTTTTATTTGGTGTTTAATTGAATTGTTTGTGTTTTAAAGATTATATAGTTAAATTTGTAGGATAATTTTTCAAGAAATATTCGTCAAAGTCAAAATTTAAAAATAATTCTTTTTAAATTTTTACTTAAACAAATCTAATTATATATATAAAAAAAAAAAAAAAAAAAAAAAAAAAATCTTACCTAATTTAACTACTATAGGGAAAAGCGGGGCAACATGGCGAACGTTTTGAAAGCCCTGAGTTGTTGCAAAACTATAAGTCGTGAAGCCATAATACTTTCTCAGTATTTTAATGTTATTAAATTCTTTCATTGCCTCCATGAATTTTCAGTTTGCAAATATAACAATTTGAAATAAATATTAAAATAAAAAGTTCATAAATTTGTCATCTGGTCACGTGACCGGGGCAAGATGACTTATTATGCAATTTTTATCTCCAATTTTATAAAAATTTTAAAACTACCAATAACTCTAACTAAAGTAACAAAAAATAAACACAAATTGCAAAAAACTACTTCTAAAGAAGTTAAACTTGAAGGGCACCATCCGTTATGAGAAACCGAAAATGAGAAATTTTTTTTTAGGCGCTAAAAGTAAACTTATGTGTATAAAATTGCGTTAAAAATATTTCAAAAAGCCAATTAGTGTTTTAAAATACAAGATGCAAATACAGTTTTGTTTTCACCCAACTTTAAGATTTTTTGTTGAGTTGTTATATGAAAACCCACCTTGCCCCATTCGCCATGTTGCCCCCCTTTCCCCTAATAGTACATTATAGTAAAACTAATCTAACTTAAAGAAAAAAGTTTATTTATAAAACATTTATAAAAATAACAAACAATAAAGAGTTAGCTGGTATTACTAGAACATTAAAAAAATACAATAGATAACGATGGTCAGTTATTTTGTAACTTCGAAGGTGCTAATGGAAAAATTCTACCCATATTATTCCATTTGTCTTTATCTTTTTTTCGACCATAACTGTAACAGTAGCTAAAATTAAATTTAAAAAAATATTAACGTGGTTTGATAACTTAGTAATCTATATATTTTTTGCTGAGTATTCTATATACTTTTTTATTTCCTTATTTGGTTTGAAAGCTTAACAGAAT